TCAGCCTGAATCTGCTCCCTGCCCTCTGGTGTACTAACTTTGCCCCATAACTTGGTATCATCAGTGAACTTGGAGAGGGTGCTCTCCACACCCTCGTTCAAATCGCTGATGAAGATATTGAATAATATTGGTCCAAGAAATGAACCCTGCGGGACCCCACTGCCCACCTCCCTCCAGGCCAAGAAGGAACCATCCACCACCACTCTCTGGGTGCGGTCCCTAAGCCAGTTGGCCACCCACCTGACCATGTAGGCACCCACTCCGCAGTCTGCTAGCTTCCCAATGAGGATAGGGTGCGAAACTGTGTCGAAGGCCTTCCTAAAGTCCAGAAAGATGACATCAACCTCGGCTCCCGCGTCCAGGCAGTGTGTGACCTGGTCATAGAAGGCTACAAGGTTTGTCAGGCAGGATCTACATGTGACAAACCCATGCTGGTTTCCCCTCAGCATCGTTTCCCCTGCTAGGCCTGCACAAATGTGTTCTTTGATTATTTTCTCTAGCATTTTCTCAGGAACAGAGGTAAGACTGACTGGTCTGAAGTTACCCGGCTCATCCCTTCTCCCTTTCTTGAAAATGGGCACCACATTGGCCCTTCTCCAGTCCTCAGGGACCTGGCCAGAGTACCATGAGTGCTCGAACAGCTGTGCCAGCGACTCAGCTATGACACTGGCCAATTCTTTCAGCAGCCATGGATGGAGGTCATCTGGGCCTGCTGACTTGTACCCATCCAGCTCCTCCAGGAGCTCCTTAACTATTTCAGAACTGATGCTCATCTCTCTCCTGAGCCAGGTAGATCTTGGCACAGAAGAGAACCCAGTCTCTTGATTTAATGAATCTACTTGTATTAATTCTACTGCAGCTTAATAAGACCTGCAGAATAATAGCTTTAATATGCCAGAGCTTATTAAGACTTAAAAGTCTTAGTATTGGCTGTACATGCTTTGTTGCTTCACAAGTTGTATTTAAAATGAAATCTTCCTTCTATACAATTACTGGTCACTAGATAAGAAAGGGGTTTGTTATACTGGCTTAGACCACAGTTCTACTGAGTTCATTAATAGCAGTTGGAAGTGGCTCATTTTTACCATTTCAGAAAGTGGTAAAAATGTCATCATTCTGTACCTGAACTGCAGTGTAATACTTGTATTAGTACTATTTGTAGAGATTTAGGGACATTCCTCCCTGATGTCCTAAGTTGTTCATTACACTGGAATTGTGAAAAGGAATTGCTGTATTATAGTGTAGATTATTTTAAATGGACATGGAATAGGAAAGAACTGGCACATCTTGGACCCACAGCTTTCAGCAGGAACCATTTGTAGAGGCAAAAATAGACAGTAAGGAGAGGTTTTAAAATGGTAAGAAGGCTCATGAGAGGATACTAAGCTATAAATGAGAATTGGCTAAACAATATGGAAAATAAAAACAAAATGCTATAGAAAGAAAGATGAAATTTTACTAAAATTAGTTACAAGAAGAGATGTACATAGAAGGCAAGGTAAGAAAAGCTAAGAACTAGCAGAGATGAGACAACAACACAGGGAACAAACAGTATGAATACACTGGGTGTAGATGTGAAGCACTAGTGATGAGGTATCAAAAGGCTAAGTAGAATTTATGCTACCTCCCATTCACTTTTCTAGTTCATTAGGTTTTTGCTATTTTCTCCCAGCCTTTTTTTTTCTGAAAAAGCATTGTTGAAGTTCTCTTTCTTTAATTCTAAGCACATAAAGGTAAACATTTTGTACTACTTTACTGAGATTGTGGTATTTTCAAGATGACCTGCATGGTTATGTGCTAGTCCTCCTGGTTCACCAAGTTCTACTTGCACATTGAACTCACTGCACACAATTGCAGCAATTCTTAAGGCTTGGAACAGGTCTTATTACAGTGTTTGTAAGAGCAGATGCTTGGCAAGTCTATATATGCCAGTGAGAACATCATTCAGTTTTATGCACACTTCTGTTTTCTGGCTTGGCATAATTCATTAGCACACTCTGCAGAATACTCCATAAAACTGGATTTGGCTGTAATGTTAAGGTTCTAATGACTACAGCATTGTAAAAAAATAAAAAAATGCAGCAGTCTCTCCCTTTTATTCTTGGAATTGATGTTTACATTTGATTAACTGAGAAAACAGAAATGCAAGATAAGACTAGGAATAATAACGCAGTTTTAATTTTAAAAAAGCATTTAATAGTGACATAATGTATGATAATTTTTGTGATGGCAAGGCTTGTTCAAGAAGTACAAGGAACTAAAATTAGTATAGTACATACATTTTTATGGCATGTTTCATCCTCATTTCAATACAAAGATTTTAAAAGAGGCTATACATGAAGACAAGGACCATGCTTTGATTAAGGATGCCAAAATTACCTTCCAACCTGTTATATCACAGCGTGGGGTACAGGAATAAACAAACAAATACAAGCATAACCTTATTTATTTGTGCACCCTCCACATAAATTTATTTAATGTAAAGACAAATAAACCAAAGCTTTGATGGGGGTTGAGCAGAATTTTCAACATCTGTGCAGATAAATTTAATTTATTCAAAAAGAAAAGCCATGCTTGTTTCTCATATAAAGACTGATTTAAATGATTTCATACAACAGAAAGCATATGCATTAGCTAAAGCAAATTTAGTTTTGCCCTTAAACCTATTTCACTTAGACAATCATTAATTTAGAGTTTTCTACTGGAAAATGTTCTATTATTTCTACTTCTTTATTCTGTTCTTGGTTTTACACATGCCACTAACCTAAACCAGAATTATAAGTCTCAGGGGCAGTAACACCCTAAATGCTGCTTCTGTGCAGCATCAGGAAGGTACACTCTACAGACTGTTTTTGCGTATCTTTATGTGAAGATCCATAAAGCCTGTCAGGTAAAAATAAAACAAGTGCAATACTTTAAATAGTTTAACATAAACGAGTTACAGGTGTTTGAATAAAGGGATCTTTTTTCTTTCTAAATTAACACATACAAAGATAATAAAACAATCTTTGTCGCACAGCTAACTCAAGGTACACTGCAAGTATGTCTCCATAACAAAACATATTAAAGCTATTTCATAGGAATAAAACAATGAAGATATTTCATATTAGCATTATAGCATTATAAATTATAGCATGTAGCATTATAAATGAGCTTAAGGCTGAATCATGGCAGAAAGTTGAGAGTAAAATTGAGATTTGAAATTTAAGGTTGTAGAATTGTTCCAAAGTTACAGATGTCAAAACTGGATGTGCGGGATTCATGCTGGTTTAATACTTATTGCCTGCCCATCTTATTGTAGATTAAAATTCTGTACACAATTTCAAAATCTCTTGGATGCAAAACAGCTTCTCTATCAGTTTCTGAATGCTACCACTGCTGAAGACAAGCTTCTCAACATAGAGCCTACAGTTCTGTTTGATTCTGGGGCTGACTAATGCAGGAACAGCAAGCACACATGCTCCCTCTCCCAGCTTTCTAAAAGATTTTGTTCATCATTGGATGACTAGAAACAAGTTTTTAAGAGGCCATAGGCCCTAAAGGATGCAGTGCCTGACAAACTTGTAGGTGGGAGAGCCAAATTGGAGTTGAACACTAGCTTCCTCTGTGAGAAGAGTTGAGAAAGGAGTCTTCACAATTTCAAAGAAAGTGGGAGTAGGCCACCACCTCCAACCTTGGCAATCCCAGAAGGAAGGAAAGACGCTGAAATAATAGCATTCAGGAGATGGGTGTTCATTTAGATGAGTTCCTCAACCCAGGAACTGGTCCAGTAGGAAACACTGTTTATCATTTTGGTTCCCCTTCTTGAACTCTAAACTATTCTCTGAACAGGTCACTTCAGTGGAAAATTCCTGAACATGGTTCTTTTGGATTTAGACTTGCACATGCCAGGAAACTGCATATCATATTGCTGAAAAAGCTCCAGACAAATTATCTGTCTACCATCAATTAAGGAAAAGATCCTTACCTATAGTTCTCTAGAAAAAGTTAAAAGCTGAAAAAAGACAATGTGTTCCCTCAAATTTTAAGGCATAAAGAGTCACATTTACAAGCTACTGCCACAGAATTTCCCAAATAGGGAAACACAAGACAGATTTGTGTGTGTGTGTGTGTGGGGGGGGGGGGGGAGGGGTTGTAAAAAACATTTAAAAAAATTAAGTTCAGATTTTTTTTTTTTAATTAAAGCAACCTTACAAACTAAGGTAGTTCATACACCAACCATTATACTAAAATAGTGATAACAGTCTGGCTTGATGGCACAGAAGCCAGGAAATTCAGAATTTAAACAAGATGATAGAGATGTTCTCCCTGAGTATATAAACTGCACTAAACGGGTACAATATTTGTGTAAAATATGGAGTTACAGCCATAACCAGATTTTGTGGCTTATGTGCATCTTTGAGCTGGATCTTTAACACTTGAAATAAGGTTGCGAATGGAATAATAGAAGGGCTTTTTCTAAGGTGACTTCATAACACAGGGAGGAGAACAGTAAGTCGCACCTTTCAGCCTCCACATTCTTCCTTTTGTTAAGAACCCTAGGAGAAGCCATCCGGAAGGAAAAAAAAGATTATGACTATCTGTAAACTAACTGTTCAACAGAGACAGAAAGCTGATAATGAGTGGGTTGTGTCTGTAGTTTTTGGCTGCTCACAACAACAGAGGTCTGAAGCAAAGCAGAAACTCTTGATATGTTTGTCTAAAGAGGTAGTAGTGTGATCAGGGGCAGCAAGAGTTCAGCTGAAGTTCAGGGCAGAATGTTGCCAGTAGTTTACACTGCAGGAAAGTAAAATTGCTTCCGGATTCACCTCTTCTTCCCAACTTCTCTTCCAGCATCAGTGTTGAGCCATGCTGCGTCGCAGTGTTACAATGTCAGTAGGAAAACAGTCTTTTAGCAGGATACCGCGTTCCCGATGACAGTCTAGCTCTTCAATAAAACCATACCAATAGATGACTAATCCAGGACCAAATCTATAAAACAAAAAAGGAGACTATAACATAAGAATCATGCCCATACAAGATGAAAAAACAAAAACTATATTTCCGAACAAACAAGTAATTCATGTGTTAATTTCATTCCAAAATTGGACAGAATATTTTAACTACATTAAATTTTCCAGGTTTCACACAATCAATTTCACACATTTCAATAATATCCAATTCCATGAATAAAAAATTCTCCTTAGGCTGTCAAAAAATTAGCATTGTTTTAGCTTATGCAAAAAGTTTATCGTCCTATTACTTTGTACATATAACTCATTAGTCATAAGAACAGACCCCTACATGCCTTTGTAATAACATTTAGTAACTGTGTGATACATACAGAAGTTTCTCATCTCTTACTTTCCATTTATTTTACATTTTGACATTTAGATATTAAAAATACATGGGTTTACATAAAGTTGCAGAGGATGTGGATTTCAGTACAATCAAGATCAACAAGTCCTTAAAATACAATCTACAGTGAGTGATTATGCAAGTAATTATTAGCACAAGGCACAGTTCATAAAAAAGTTTCTACTGCAATGTCTAATATGTGCTTGAGGAATTCCTCAGATATTACTAACACTGACTGATCCCCACTAGGCAATCTCAGGAAGTAGCCCCATGGACTATTTTACCCATCAGGAAGTTCAGACCTTCAGGCTGGGTTCATAAAGAAGTAATCACTATCAATCACCGTGTACAGCGATATGTTTTGCACATCAGTTTCACGTTTTTCCTACTGAGAGCACTTAATTAAAGGGCAGCACTACTTTTGGTGTAGTGTTGCAGGAATTTTACAGTGAAATCATAAATTATGAATGTTGGGTTAGTAAAAGGATGTCTAAAAACAGAACCGCTTTCTTAGTCTAACATTACAGCAGTCTGTACAACGTTAGGCCAAAAAGCTTTTTCTTTCTGTGATTTATTATATGCTATAGTCAACTTGCCAAAAACAACAGTGCAGGATGAGCTGTTAGATACTGTATGTACAAGAAAAAGTTCAATAGAATGTCATATAATGGTTTATACACAGAGCTGTGCTCAGTACTCATACCAATATGGTAGCCAATTTTTGTTCATGTTTAATTATAATAAAAGTGTGTCAGGGGATGCACAATAACTTAAAAGTCCACTTAGCAGACAATGGAAGCACTCTAAACTGTGGCAGTGCCAGACTAGCTTCATTAGGGTGGTTTCTTTCCAACACTGAATTATAGAAATCTCTATTTGATGTGTTCTTGTAATGGAACAGACATCAAAGAAGAAGAAAGCCTGTGGATTCCCCCTGCAGTTTCAATTAGGCATGGTATTCTACTGTCCAGAACTGTTGCATAGTGTTGCTACACATTGTTTCATGGTCACTACCCTCCACTCCAGAGAGAGTTGCATTTTAGGGGCAAAGGAAGTGTGCATATTTAACCCATCACTTTAGAAAGTGCTGCAATTTTTCAACTACATATTCCCTCTACCATGAGGTAGAAACTAAGTGTGACATTCTCAACATAATGTATTTACAATGTAATTAATTGTTCAAACCAGTTACTTCAAAGGAACATGTAAGTTCTGTCTAAAAAAATTAAAATAAACCCACACTACAGAGAATACATTTTGTATTTTTAACTATTTTATGCAAGTCAGATGGGATGCTTGTTGGTTGTTAGCATGTTTTCTCTTCTCTGTTGCTGAAGGACTCAGTTTGCATTCCGTGGCAATTTGAAAACCCTAAAAGGTAAAAGGAACTTGCCTCTATGTTTAAACTGCTACAATGTGAAAATTATGACGTTTAATTCAAACAGACGTTTCTGAGGCGACTCAAAGAAACTGTTTAACTGATTTCTGTTGAGCTGTCAGTGTAATTATTTTTCAACAATATTGTCCACAACTTGCAACAGGTTCAGAAGTGACTCTTCTGCTGTAAAGCCATAGCTTAAAGAGGGTTCACCTTGCTAGCGTGAGCTGCACGAACAGAGCCTCTCTTTGCCAGTGAAACTGTTCCTTTAAATCTTTTTAGACCCTTTATTAATCAACAAAACTAGTCATGGTACATCTTTTTCCACAGTATTAGTGTAATATGTTGTAATGTGACTTTGTAGCAGAGACAGAATATGTATTATCAGAGATAATTTGCAGAATATGTTTAAAAAAACCCAAAGACTTAAGTGGAGTACTTAAAACCAAAATTAACTTGTTGGCACATTAAGCATTTACCACTGACTATCAAGAGCTCCTGCTGCTAAGCGCTAATTTCTCTCTCATTAATGTGCAGAGTTGGCAAATCACAAACAATGCCAGTGGTTAATTACTGCTGCCTTAATTTGAAAAGACATTTAACCTTTTTTGTGCAGGGGGATGGGGTAGGGAGGTGCAAGCTAGGAGTAAGATCCACCCTTTTTAATTTGACTCCCTCCAAAGCACTTTCCAAAGTCACACATGTGACACCATGGAGAATAAAACTCAACACTGTAAATTATAGACTAAAGTTAAAAACTTATTTATAGATTAATAATAATGTTTAACAAATTGGTGACTAACCTTCCTCTGAGGACCAGTGCTGACAACTTTGGTTTACACAGGAAAATTAGCTCAAATGATAGAGTACTTGCTTTGTAAGCTATGCAAAATAGGACCAACCTAACAGTTCCAAGAGAAATTTTTGGATTAGGAAGCAAAATACGGTTTCATTATTATTACAGAAGATCCCACTAGGAATATTTCAGGTACTACATGTCTCGGACGGCCGGAGCCGACTCAAGATGATTCAAATATCACTTGGTTGTTTGGGCAGGCTGGTGAATGGAGAGGCAGACACAGCTTATTGGTTGCAAAAACTTTACTTACGCCGCTTGTAGCCGCGACGCAGGTGGTCCGGTCGCTTGAACAACTATGTGAGTTGCTCCAGCTGGCAAGGCTCAGGCCAGCTAAGCCGTCCACAAATTAAGCCGGCAGCGAAAGGGTACGTCGAGGATTGCGCTCGGCGACGGGGAGAAGAATCGATAGGTGATCAGTCTATTGATCAGCTCAGCTGCAAGTCAGATCTCTTTAGAGGCACTGTGCAGCGTGCTCAAAGTTCTCCGACTTGGGCGGAAGTCGCACGAAATTTTAAATGGCTA